GGGTGGGAGGAGGAAGATAACAAGGTAGAAGAAAATAGAAGATAGAGGAGTAGGAGTCTTTCCTTACAGCATTGCCAACTCAACTATCTTTTGAAACTCGAACTGGATGGGCGCGAAGTTGGCTGTAAGGCAAGCACAAAGAAGATGCCTGCCTGGTAGAGGGACGCATGGCGAAAGAAGTCCCCAGGAGCCTTCAGTCCACGCCTAGACTCATACGCCAAAGTCACGCACGACCGGGACAGGCTTTTGCAGAACTGAGGGGCAGTTTGTGACACCCCTGTGTTTTAGGGGTATCTGACGAAATACCCCAACTTGCTTCTCCTTTAAATCGTCAGCCCAACCACTGGCTGCAAGCTTTTTAACAGGACAGCCAGACGACACAGTCGGTCAAGACTTCTCCCCCCGCTAAAAAAAAAACAAAGAAAAAAACAAAAAAAAATTTGGTCAAGTGAACGTTGAGGGCTTTAGAGGACAAATAGAGGAGGGCGGGGATGGGACTGGGAGGGGAGGCGCAAGGGGGTAAAAGAAAGCACAAACATACAAAAAGAGCGTAATGGGTCAGCGACTGACTATCACAGTAGTAGTGCAAATATTGCAGGTTGGGAACAAAAGAGGAGAGTTGGAGCAAAGAACTTGAATGCAGGAGTAGAGGACGAACTACACGATGGGATAGAGTGGAGGATAGGGTGGACATGAAGGCAAACAAGGGTATATAGGGCAACACAAGGAAAATGGCATAGGGAGTGGTAGCGAGGTGTAATGCGACTACACAAGGACGGAGTATGTAGTAGAATGGCAGCAACAGAATAGGAAATGGGTACAAGATAGGGGTCCCACTAGCGAAGCGGTAATAAAGACGGTTGGAGAAGAGAATGCAGGACTAGAAGACTAACTATAGGAAGGGATAGAGAGGAGGATAGGAGTGGTAGCGACAGAATGTGAAAAGGGTAGAGGACAGGGGTACTACTAGTGAAGCGGTAATAAGGAGGGTGGTGGCCACATAAGTCGCACAAATAGAAAAATAACAGATATAAGGCGGTCTGAGGGACTGCCACAATGTCCCCCCCAGCGCCTGACCTTTCAGTATTTTACGCGCTACTTGATTGGGTGCTGGTAGCAAAAAGCCGCCCGGCCTGCAAGTCAAGCCCCTAGCAAAGCCCAAGGCTTGGGGGGAGGGTTGCTCTATAGCAGCACCCCGCTTGCCAAGTGTCTAGAACCACAAGGGATGGGCTGTTTCCTTTTTTCCTGGTCTCTTCTCCCCTCCTAGCCCCCCTTCTTTATTGGATGCAAAAAACATGTTTGCCGATGATAAGCAACCGGAGTGTTGCGCCCAACAGTTTCTGCGCTTGTCTGAAATCTGGATTCGTGATTAAGAGACTTTGCCAAATACAGCATACTCGTATTATTTAGCCAGTTCTGACCAGAGTCATCTACTACTGTGGTCTCACTAAACTCACTGCTATCAGCTCTGATCTGGTTTATTCCGTGCCAATCAATTTTATCTGCTATGCTATGCTTTGATCTAGACCGATCTGCTCTATTCGAATGACGTCTTACCAAACAGATGAATGATTACATCCCTATTCAACCTTGTTAAGAATATGACGTGAATACAGTCTGTTTTAATTTGACCCCYCTYTCTCTCTCTCTCTCTCACACACACACACACACACACACACACACACACACACACACACACACACACTGWGACACACACACACACACACACACACGCTGTTATACCCATGTGAGTGAGCCAATCAGG